GCTGCCAGATCGCCGATAGACGGCCGCCGGGCCTGGTCCGTGAACACCTGGTTAGCGCTGGAGGAGTGTGCGGCACGGGTGGAGGAAGATGCGGTATGAGTAGGAGATGCCTTACAGGTGCAGCTCAGGTAGCACAGCGGGTAAGAGCTGCAGCACAGAAGACAGACGTGCAGCGCAGACGTCGGCCGCGCAGACCTCGGCTGCCATTCGTCGCGCGTCAGTGGATGCGTCCCATGTAAGCTGACCCTGCACGGTCCACCGCCGCACCGGTCGGTCAGAGCTGACAGACCTGCCCGCCGACCAGCACTGAAGGGTCAGCTGCCGTCTGGTTAGCTCTCTCGCCCGACCCTTCCTCCGCTGCACGCCTGCCCTGTTGTGTGTCGTTTCGATCCGCCGGGAGCTGGATGCGCTCCTGCGGGTTGCAGCGCTGTGTGCTCACGGTTAAAGGAGCCGGTCGTGGGAGGTGCTCTCAGAGCGGCCGGCGGCGGTGCCGGTCTGACTCGGTGTCCGGGCGGCACCCCGCCCTCATAGGTGTGTCCTGTGGGCCGGACGGACCCTCCCCGGCGTCAGGGCCAGCCCGCGGCGAGAGGTGCAGCCACGCCAGGGTGTGTCTGCCAGTAATTCGTGCTCCTCTCAAGTATGACTTTTGTCAAGCACTTCCATGTGTTGAACGCTGCGTGCGGTTGATGGACAAACATTATGATAAGCTTAACTAAGCACATCAATTTTCCAGACAGGTAACAACCATTTGATATGAAGCCAAATAAAGCCCGCGTCTCGCCGAACGTGTCCATTGCGGAAGTGACCAAAAACGGTCGCTGTTATCGCCAGATCACACCGTTTGTGGCGAGCAGCGAGAGGCGGCGGTGACGAATTGTCTTCCGTTTACGGCGCGGCGCGGCGGGACCGGGACAGGTCTCCGGCTCAGCCCCACTGCCGAGGGGGAGAGAGACTAGCGGAGCTGTCTCTCCATGAGACATGATCTCCGCGGCGGAGTGGAGAGACATGATGGTCCGACACTGACATCCAGGCGGTGTCTCACGCTAACACTCGAACGGTATCTGGCACTGACACTCCTCAGTATCTGACACTGCCACTCGGGTGACACCGTCCAAACAAGGCGCTTCTCGGCAGCGCCCGCTCTCGCCATGACCGGCTCAGCTCAGACCAGTCAGTCGCTGACTCAGCGCTCCAGCAAAATCACAAGACAATCCCTCCCAACAACGCCGAATTATGAATAATCCGATCAGGTGCAACTATTTCGCCAAACCCTGACTGGCGTCTACGGGCGCCACCATATTTGGTCACTGCGTGCACGTGTAAGGTGCATTGTGGTCCAAAATCGGCCGGATTCTGTACCTGGAGCATTCGGCTCTGAAACGACCGTGCGGCCCTCATTTTTAGCGCCGCGGTAATCAGCGAAACACGCCATCCATTCTGCAACAACTTCAGAAGGCGTAGTGGGCGCACGACTCGGGAGTTTGCGGTCTTGCACGCCAGCCGCGGATCCCGATCTGCTCTGTGGCGCTGCTGTGGGTCATGATCTCTATTTTTGCGCCGTGTCAGTTTGCCCGACTTTCATTTGACGCCTGTGCAAACAGCTCGTTTGTTCGGCTGGCCGCTCGGTAGAAACGTGCCGTTGCCGTCAGGCCCTTTGAGGGTATCTCGGGCGGCGGGCGCCTTCACACGGGCAGCGGTCCGTTCCCACGGGCCAGCAGCTCAGCCCGCCCAGCACCAGGTGCCTCCGCGTGCCGCCGGAGCGAACGGCGTGAACGCTCACTAATCTGATCGGCACGACACACGGGCAGATCGCACCCTCGCTCTCGGGGTCACCGTGAGCTGATCCTCGGCCTCAGTACGGGCCTCTCATGACCCGGGGTCACGACCGAGGCCCCAGCCCGGCCCCTGAGGTCACCGACTGACCGGCGCATGTCGACCTAGTGTCTGATGTCCAACCATTTTAGGCAAAACACCGCTCCAGGGTGGCCGTTTTCCTCCGCTCAGGTCAGAGCAAGACAACAGTCCGACGGCGGCTGACCGTCTTCTTTAGAACGTCCAGAGAAAGACAACATCCGCGACGACGGCGTCGTTTTTATGTCCGGTGACGGCGGCGGCGGGTCTTGATGCCGGCACGGCGCTCTGACTGGTATGTTTGTTAAGTCGCCGCTCGCCCGCAGTATCAGCTCCGGGTGTTTTTGTTCTGTGCCGCTGTGCTGCTGACCAGTGGTGTTTTCTCAGTTCCTGCACCGGGCGAACGGTGTTGATGTTGGTGAAGGTGGAGTCCGTACTTCCACAAACACCCAGTGCTAGTGGAGTATGCCGAGATGAAGTCTCCACGGTCTAGTGTTAGAGCATCAGCAAAACGAAGTCACCATGCAGTTTCCGATCGAAGTCAGTACCTATCTTGTGGTATGTGAGGCTTATTCTTCCGTCTGGTGTTATTGCAGTGCGGAAATGCAGTCTCCATAGCACAGTTTTGTGTGTGTACTGTGTAAGGAAGAGATCAGGATATTGCAGCATATACGTTCAGCGTGAAAATATCACCGCAGTCCAGTGGTATATCGTACGGTGTTGAAGTCTTCAGCTGGTGTTACTCGGCACTGCATGGTTGACGTCTCCAACAATTTGGTGTTTGTGCATTACTCAACAATGAAGTCCCCAATTCCCCACCGATTGGTAGTAATTTGTTATGGAATTGAAGTCCTGACAGTTGATTGAAGCGGTAGAACAATATAAAAATATACCTGTATGGACTTTGCATGGCTATAGACTGCAACACTGAGTGCAGGCTGGTATGGACTGCGAGTTCAAACAACTGGCTGTGGCTGTGTCCGGGCGATAACAGCGTCCCGCTTATCATTCCCGCTAAACTGTGGCAATTTCTCCCAAACTGCTACCGACTCAGCCACGCTATAATGACCATTCAAGCTCCCCGGACCGTCTACCGTTACCGCGGCACATCTGTAACCACCGCGGCAGTCGGCAGCAGAAGTACGGGGTGGGTTCAGTTACTGCTGAGTATCACATTGCGGGCCATAACTTAGTCTCGTGACAGCTGCCACGGCCACGTCGGCTGCCGTGTAGGGCACTGCTCCGGGGAGGTAGTGGCGACGGCTGGATGGGACGGCGACGGCTCTCTCTCTCTCTCTCTCTCTCTCTCTCTCTCTCTCTCCTCTCTTTCTCTCTCCCCCTGGGTGTTAGCCTTCTTCCTTTCCTCTTCCCTCTCAGCCCCATACTCCCGCGCTGAGCTCGTTGAGAGACGGACTGGCGGGCGGCCCTGGGCGCCCCGCCAGGGTCGGCTTTGTCCGAGGATTTGCCGGCCCGATGGCAGGGCGTGAAGAAATGCAGATCAGCGCGCTATCACGGCACACACCTGTGGCCCTGGCCGGCCGATATATCCGGGTGGCCTTCCATTGCAGACGGGCGCGGACGGGAGTGGCGTGCCGCCGGCCGGGGAGCAGCCGCGCTCCACTATATCCCCCGGTATCCAGGTGCAGGCTCATAGACCAGGTGCACACCTTCCGACCCCGGAACAGAGTTACCGATGGAATACATCCTATGTCTCACACAGATCCATTGCAGGCCTCCAGGTCTCACGCATACCTGACAAGAGGAACGCAAGCTAAACAAGGACGCATGCAGTCACTAACGGCTGACTGGCTGCTGGCCCGCCTTCTCACAGGTCTGTCTGTCTTATCGCCCAAATAGTAGACCTACATGTATGTTTACCACTGCATAAACAGCACGAACTGCTAACCCACACAGGTCGACCGAGCAGATGGTGAGCAGAAAAACTACCGCTCTGTGTGCCGATCTCTTTCCGTTCACTCTTTCGTGCAACCGCCCATTTTACGGCATTCACAACAGCGCTCGATAGCAGACCTGTGGTTCGCTTCTGTAGGTCACACAATCCTTGATTATGGGCCACGTGTTGAACAGACAAGGGCGGGTCGTAGTTATCAGGTGCCTGGATGTCGTATATCGATGGAGGAGAGACAAGGCTGAGACATCTCACTCTGCACAGTGGAGTGGACGATCCCAGTCAAAGTTACGATGACGGTTCTCTCGCCTGTTCGTCGTTAGCTCGTCAATCGCTGAAAGGAGGAGTAGCCGATCGCGTCGAGGTATCGCGGGCACTTAGACAGGGGAGAAAGGAGAGAAGAGAGGCAGAGGAACGAATCTCTTCGGACCTAGTGATCTGATCAACGAGTGCGTTTTTCAGTCCTTATACCCCTTCAGTTACAGCTGAAAACTACTTAGCTACTGAGTCTCTCTCGCAGTAACACCGTCCATCCGCGACAGGTTAAAAGGCCCCAAAGAAGAGCCGCCATGACGCCCAGACCCGCTGCAATACCTGCAGCCCATCCCTCTGTGACGTCACTGCTCTGGTGACGTCACAGGTCAATGTGCGGCCCGGGTCGGCCGCTGGGAGCGCCTCTAATAACCCCCCGCGGCGCGGCGCCGCTCGTTAGCGGGTCAAACGGAGGCGGGGCTGACGTGCAACACGACCGGCCCGCGCCGCTGCCGGTGGCGAAACGACCCGGCCTCTCACGACCCCGGCCGCCGCGACCCAACTGTGTCAGCACAGCCTAACGCAACCAGCCACACGGCGCACCGACAGATGTAATTGATTACGGCCGACAGCGGCGGACAGTGGGGCTTCCCGCTCCATTGGCACTTATGAAATCAGCGAGCGCTTTTTATTGTTGCGTCATGGCTGATCAGCGAGCATCACCGCCGCAGGTCTGCAGCTGCAAACTGCGCCGGGCCGGTGAACTGTGCCTGTGCTATACCTGGGCCAGGAAACTGTGTTCTATTCCCGAGCCAGTGAACTACCCATGCTACATCCGAGCCGAGCCAGTGACCTGTCCCTGTGTTATTCCCGAGCCAGAAAGCTGTGTGATATACTCGAGTTAGTGAGCCGTCTGTTCTGTGTCTGTGTCACTAAGTCATGATTGTAGACAGTGATATGTGAGTGAGCTGCCTGAGCGGCGCCTTACCTCGTTGGAGACGGAGCCCAGATGGTGGACCTCCTCCTCGCGGCGGCCCGACTCGTGCTCCTCGTGCGAGTTGGTCACGTTGACGTAGCGCTCCGAGACGACCGAGTCGCCCGAGGGGACGACCGCGCGGCCCTCGGACGGCTGCCGGTCGCTGCTCTTCCGGTGCTGAAAACACAGAGGGGTACAGGGTTAGAATAAGCAGACGGGCCAGGGGAAACGACATGGAAAGTGAAAAGAGATAGGGGAGGTGGAGAGAGATGGAGTTAGATAGAGTGAGAAAAATATACAGATCACAAGTGTGGCGACCTTGCATCGTACATACATCCTTGTACATCCTTGTACATCCTTGTCTTCGTCCGCATTCTCAACAACGTCCTCCTGATAATTTGCACGCTCAGCAGTTAAGTACACACACTATACACGCAGTCATTACATTCCATAGCTGCGTCCTGTACAGATCCGCCATACATTCCGCACTGTCGGCTCGTTTCGGGCCGGTACACATTCTGCGGCAGCCCGCGCCGGCCACAGCCAGCAGCGCGCCTTTCCTGGTGGCGAATTTCCTGCTCCGTCCGTTGGCCCTAACCGGCGACTCCGCAGTGAGCGGCACCGTATAAGGGGTGGACGAGAAACTTATAGTTGGGATGATGCAGAAACTCGAGTCCCGCGGAGTTGGGCATGGTAACCGGTGATGGCCGGATGCTATCGGCTGTTTTCGTTGAGAGCTCTGCCCAAACCCTCAGTGCTTCTGAGCCTATTCTGCTCGCACCAATATAGTAAAACTCTCGCCGAGTGCGCAGGTGGTATCTGTTGTCTAAATGGGTTACCACTGACCACTGTTGTAAGCTTCTCCCGTTACCTTCATAAAGTGCCAGTTCACACGGGTACAGTTGGATGACATTGTGTCAGCTACTGCAGTAATCCCGCCTGGACGTGTCGAACACCTGTGCTGCGGCCCATCGCTGTACGGGAGCGCCATTCAAACTCGGACACCGTCCTTGCCGCTGCACATTAGGACCCGGTTCGCTCAGAGACGGCGGCTGGGACGGCTCCGGAAGGTCCCACGGTCAAGGTCGGGACGCCACATACCGGTGTCGCCCGGACACGCAGCTCTGAGCGGGCGGAGCGGGCTTCCCAGGCGGCCTCAGATCCGGCCGGTCGGCTGGAGCGGCTCAGCGCGGCGGCTTGCATTGATAGGGTACTGGCGGCGCCGCGCCGCTCATTAAGCCGTAACAACCGGTCGACTGGGCACGACCTGGCCGCCCAACGGCCGGCCATTCAGCCGACACCGGGGTCAGGCCAGTTTCAACACGGATTAACGAGCGCGCGGTGAGTCATTAGATCACAAGGCCATCAGCTCGGCGGCCCGGCGGCTCGGCGGCTCGGTGGTGGCGCGGCCCGTGCCGGCCGGCTCAGACCCGCTTACTGGGCACGTGGCGCCGCCAGGACGGCCCGGGCCGGCTACAGCGACCACAGGACGTCACCGGAGCGGCGCGACGTGGCAACGGCACGCCATCTTCCTCTAGTCGTCGGTCCCCGACCACTAACCAACACAGACGAACTACACCGGCCGCCGGACGGGACCGCTAACCGCCGGAGTATCCCCGCAGAAACCATGATCGATCGCGTCCTTAATGCCGCCTCGGTGCAGGGTAATCCGATATCAGATAGCCTGCCACCGTCAGTGGCTGGCCTCGTATGCACAGTGCAGCGCTCGGTGGGGTGGAATCGGTGCCGCGGGCGCCCGCTCTCATGTTGCGTGTGTCGCTGCTGAGCGATCGGCGTCTGCCCCGCGATGGACCGGGGCGGACTGGGCACTCCCGACTGCTGACCTGACCTGTATTGGAGGGCAGCGACCCTCACCGCACTGCCCACCCGATGTGTCTGAATACGGACTGAGCTGTGTGCGGCGGCCGCTCAGATAGCACCCCAGCTGACAGCTGACGGACAACCGAGGCGGGGAGGCGGAGAGAGACGGCGTCCCACGGTCCAGAACAATGTATCAGCGCCGGCCGTCAGTGGAGACCAGACGTCAGGTGTCAGTGGGAGACGGCGAGCCGCCGGACGTCAGATGTCAGTCAGTAAACGCCGGCCGACGGCCACCAGTCAACTACTCGTCAGATGACTGGTCGTCAGATGTTTGTCAGCAAACACCAGCAGACAGCCACCAGTCAGCAACCATCGGTCGTCAGATGTTAGTAAGCAGCCGGCCGTCAGATGTCAGTCATCAGATGCACTGTCATCATTCACCAAAGTTGTCTGTCGTCAGTATATGTAGAGCACCATCTGGCAGTGTTGTGGCAGTCTGGCCAGTTGGCACACCATTTTTACCCCATTATCTTTCCGCGCTGTGGTAAAATGACCCACTAAGACCACGCTGTATTAGACCCAAACCCCTCCGTATCCGTGCTATTATTCTCCCTCCCAGCGCCGCGGCGTTCTGTCATGGTCCGGTGCTGCTCTGAATAGTACCGTCAGGACTGACAAATTGCACTGAGAGTTGATAGAGCGTTATGCCACCGGCCCTTAGGGAGCCCCCATACGTCATGAGACCCTTTTAGCTTCTAGAGCTGCTGCGCTGCAGGGTGTAACTCGGAAGCCGAGGAGAGAACTGAAGTGGGTTTGCCCTCTCTCCTAAACCGGGCTCCTATCTAGCGCAGAAAGTCAGACCACAGAAGAAAGGGAGAAAGAAATAAAGAAAGAAAAGTCAAAAGAAGGGAAGGCAGAAATAATGAGAAGATTGAAAGGGATACAGACACAAAGGGATGCAGGCGCGGACGACCGGGTGCTCTGTAGATGATGTGAGGTGCTCCGGAGGAGGGCGTGGAGGACTGAACGCTCTCCGAGAGGACCGCGCGCTCCGGAGGAGGACGCGGAGGACAGGCGCTCTGGAGGAGGACAGGGTGCTCTGTATGAGGGCGCGGAGGACAGGTGCTCTGGAGGACAGGGTGCTCTGTATGAGGGCGCGGAGGACAGGTGCTCTGGAGGACAGGGTGCTCTGTATGAGGGCGCGGAGGACAGGTGCTCTGGAGGAGGACAGGGTACTCTGTATGAGGGCGGGGAGGACAGGCGCTCTGGAGGAGGACTGGGTGCTTTGTGAGGACAGGGTGCTCTATAGGAGGGCGCGGAGGACAGGGTGCTCTAGAGGAGGGCGCGGAGGACAGGGCCGCTCTCCGCCGGGTGCTCTGGAGGAGGGCGCGGCGCGCCGCCGCCCATCACGGGCCCATCTGTCATCAATTACCGTCTAACGGGAGCGGAGCAGGCGTGCGGTCCGCCCTTGTCCGCCCCGCGCGGGCGGGCGGGCGGCGAGTCACTGCGTCTGTCTACAGACGCTAGGCTAGGCCGCCGGCGATGGCAGTCTTTAACAGAGGAAACAATGAGGGAGGCATCACCCCCCCCCCCCCGAAACTCCTTGAGATCGAGCACGTCAGGGTAGTTGTCACTAGTGAGAGGTGACAGAGTAAGAGGTGACCTGATTGGGATAAAGTACATGATCTGTTATGAAAGGCTAACTAAATGTAGCGATAGTTTATGTAACGATAGCTCTGGATTCGACAGCTAACAGCCATCGACGGCGTTGCCTCGGGTACCATCTGTCAGAGGCGATCATGTGACAGGAGCTGACGTTTGTCATATAACAGAGGGCGAGGCCACAATCAGCGCCGCCCTTTGCGTCGGCAGCGAGGGAGGTGAGCTATCAAAGATCGGCGTTGGCGTCAGAGATTGATGAGGCGGAGGCGGTCAGGGCCATCAGAGCCGAGGTGACAGCTCGGCGGCGTTTCACAACAGGCCGGCGCGGATCGATCGGAGGGGCGTCTCAGCGGGTGGAGGGAGGCGCTGACGCCTGCTCCGGGCGCCGGTCTGTGGTAGCACAGCGGAGCCGCTGTGGACTCTCACGTGAACCCCCGCTCGGAGCGGAGGCTGATGAGCGGGGGCGGCGTCAGACGCCAGCCCGGCCTGTCGCCACGGAGTCGTTTCACCACTCAGTTTGGACGCGCGATTCGCCGAGAGGCGGCACCAGTCGCCCCGGCACGTGACGCGACTAATTTAAGGCCTCCTACGCCGGCCACCAGTTCAAACAGCAGCCAAGGCCGGCACTAATCAGCACCATTAGTATACGGCGCGCGGCGGCACCCCGGAGAGCGCCGAGTCATGCGACCGGTCGCAGAGGCAGATCGGGGACCGCGGACACCTGTCGTATTCGTCCGCCGCTAACGGCGTGAGGACACACATGGACACACACATCAGGGAGGAGTCATACGGAGACATGCGTCCGGAGAGCAGAAGAAACCGGCTGAGTTGGTCCATTCATGCGATGATTGATACGCAATAACTCAGCGATATCGACCAGTTGGTAACAGTCAGTTGCCATTCAATGGCAGGCATACAAGTTTGAAAAAAAAATGATCTTGCTTGATCCCGAGCGAAGTAACATTAGCGTTGTGCTGCGAAAGAGCAACGCAAGTAAGTCGGTTATTCTATTTCCAAGGCTTCGCATCGCGACAATTATTTAAAATGCACTCAGGCAATGTTTTCTGTTTTAAGACCACATTACATAACAAAGCTCCTTGTTAGTTGCTTCACAGTAAATGACAGCGGTTGACAAAACCGGGCGGTGTCATACAATGGCCGGCATTACTTCCTGTCGAACAGCGGTCCATGAAGCGAGTACGGCGCCGTCTGACACGACTGACATCGAGCCGGCCTGTCAGTCGGCAGGGCGACCGCCCGGTCTGTGACCGCGTATAGAACGACCCGGGGTCATTTGTATCCCGCAGCCTGTCACAGAGGACCGGCAGAGAGACGACCCACCGGTCAGCGCCCCCTGGTCGTCCCTGCTCGGGGATCCCGTATAACTCAATGTCGGATCCGCGCTGCCGCTGCGCTTATCCGAGATGATAACCGTCTATCGACTGAATAAAACGCCAGACTGCGATTGGGTGGCTGGTCGGGTATACGGATCAACTGTCCCCTAGCAGATACCAATATACCATGCGGCGGTTTGGTTTTACATTGAGCAAATACGGCGAATTCTATCCAAATAGCCAAGTCACGACACAGCCGTTCCTGCATAATGTTTGTGACCACGAAAAATGGCCTCCATAGCACACATTCAAAGCTGCGTTCTCCCTGACAGTGGCTGTGACAGCCCATGACTGTTCTGTCTCTGAAGGACAGCCACCTACATGACCCGATCAACAGAATGACGCGGACATTAATTGTAATAAGATACGGTCCAACTATCATAGTCATGTGGTCAACGGCCGACCTGACCAACCGCAACGAACAGCCACTAACGAGATTGACTGACAAGCTGACGACGGCTTAGCTTAGTTAGCCATGCCAAACACCGATTTCAACAGCCTATGAATATTGAGGACACGAGCCAACCACCATGACCAACCAATGTCTCTTGAACGACGCCAACATTATGTATTCACTCAGGGGTTCAGCTTAGTAAATCTCTGATCGGATACGAGTCCGTGTCCGCGAATTTTTACTTTACGTCGTCAAAAACAGTAGCTCCGTTCCAAACTCCTCTGCGAGTCGAGCCACGTTTTGCACATGCTCGGGTGACATGAAGGTGATTGATCAGCCACAGCGTGACCAAAAAAGAGCACAACAATCGTGAAATTAGAATTGCGGAAAGACCAGAGTGCACGGATTAAGCCATTGAAAGCCATGGCCTGCATCGCTAGTCATACACGATTGCAAAAACGTGCCACGAAGTGAAACAAACGTGATGACGAAGTCAAAAAGGTTACGACTAATGCCCAGGTAAGATCCTCCTTTTTACCTCGTTAACTCCCGGAGCGATAACACTGTCATCTCGAGCAGTGTGACCCAGGTTCACTCACCCGTCCGCGTGACATTATTCAAAGGCGGGTTCCCACGGTCCGGAGTCAGCCCCGCCGGAAGGAAACTCTTGGCCCGTACCTATCTCCGAGGCGGCCACTCACCCGGAAGACGTTTTTGATGTTGTGCGCGATGTCGTGCAGCACGCCGTGCTGTCGCTGACGGCCGTGTTTGTCCAGGTCGCGCGTCACGTTGACGTTCTTGACGCCGTCGTGGCGCCGCTCAGTCGAGCGCTGCCGCTTCAGGATGCCTTTGCGGTGCGCGCCGTGCGCCGAGCTGCGGCCGCGCGACGAGTGGCGCCGCTCGTCCGGAGACTCGAGGCTGCTGGAGGAGGCGGAGGAGCGCCGACTCGCCCGGCCCGCCACCACCAGGCTCGGCTGGGAGGCGGCGCGCGCGGCCGGAGCCGTCGCCAGCGGCTCGGTCAGGTCTGGCGAGGAGCGGTGCCGTGCAGACAGCTGGAACGGCAGGTTGGCGTAGTGCGTGAACGGCTCCTGTGGCGGCTCGCGCTCCTCAGCCGGGTGGAACAGGGACGGCTGTGAGAGGGCGCGCCGCTGCTGGATGATGGGCTGGATCGGCTGCTCCTCCTCGGGTGGCGCGCGCGGCCGGCCGCGACTCGTCTCGTTGGTGGCTTTGGGCGGCGCTACCGGCGCCGGCAGGTCCAGCCGCTCGTTGTTGCGCGGCTCGTCGCGGAAGCTGTGGCTGCGCTCGGTCGGCCGCCCGACGGTGGCCCAGCCGAGGGAGGAGAGCCGGCGCGATAGACTCGTTCCGCCGGCGCCGCTCCGGTGCTGTGTGCGCGGCAGAGAGCGATATGTAGTCCGCTCCGTGTCCACCTCGGCTCGCCCCGGCTCCACCGTCAGTACCTCGTGAGACTTGGCCGTCTTCAGCTTGCTGTGACGCGCCGGTCGCTCCAGCGAGGACAGTGATGACGATGATGCTCGCTCGCGTTTCTTCACAGGCGCTGGTGACGGCTTGTCGCGAGGTTTCAGTGAAAACTTGCGCCGCAGGAAGCCCATGACTCCGGCATTCTTTCTGTCGCCGCTGGACTCTGAGACTCGGGTGCGGGACCGCTGCGATCGCGCCGCGTACCTGTCGCCGTGCCGCGCTGAGCGGACTGTCGAGCCGCGCGAGCGGGCCGTCATCGTGTCCGACAGAGAGCCATCCGAGTCGGCCCGCCACACGGGCGCGCGCGGAGACGAGCTGGAGAGCTCCGAGGGCGCGCGGCCGGCCCGCTCGTTGGGTCGGTACCGGCGGGCCCTCGGCGGACTCTCCTGGGGCGCCTCTCCCAGCGGCTCCAGTCGGCGCGTCACGTCGGCGCTGGAGGCGCGCTGAGAGCGGGTCGGCGGACTGGAGCGGCGCGGCGGGCGGTTCAGGGTCTGTGTGAGACGGCGACCCGACGGCGGAGCGTCGGCACGCGCCGACATGGAGCGCGCGCCCGCCTCCGACCGCCGGTGCTCCACGCCTTTCATCATGATCACACTCGGTTCGTACTCGTCGCCAAAGCGGATCTCTCGCTTCTTTACCGGCTCCGGCTTCACCTGAAGCGACTTGGAGCGGCGCAGGGTGATGCGCGGCTTCCACGAGCCAAAAATGGAGCGAGACTGCTTCCCGGCCGGCCGCTGACTCGCCTGCGAGGCGCGCGAGTCGGGACGCACATCGCGCGCTTCGCGGCCAGAGCGGATCGAGGACGACCGCTGCGGCGCGTCGCGGCGGCTGGACTCGCGACGGCGCAGGATCAGCGCCTTGGAGGAGGTGCGAGACTCGGGTCGGCGGACTTTGGAGTAGGACGAGCGGCGGGTGGAGCCAGCGCGCTGGCGTGACGCCCGCTCCGACATGGCCTCACGCGAGCTGCGCGAGGACGGCCGTCGCCCGGCGCCCGAGCCGCCGCTACTGCGGGACGCCTGGGACGACGGCCGGGAGAGGTCGTTCTTGTAGAGTTTGCGCAGCTCGCGCTGTCTCGGCGGCGCCTTGTAGACGGCGGGCGGCGGCACGACTGGCTGCGAGACCACCAGAGAGGAGGTGCGCTTCACGCCGCCGGGCCGGCTGCGGCCCACCGTGGCGTATTTGACCGGCGGCGGCTTCATCGAGTTGGTGTTGGACACGTAGCCGCTCGAGTTCTCCATGGGTTCCGGGGAGACCTTCTGTAGCATGGTGTGAGCTGGATGGGCGGGCGGCGCGTCGCCTGCCCTACCGACGGACGCGGCCGGCACACGACCCGCGACCCTCCCTCAGACACCCGCTGGCGCCGGGCGGAGCTGCGGTCCGACACTGACCGCCGCCACACAGCGGCACCGGTCCGGCACTGTCCACTGTCACCGCGCCCTCCGTCCCCCGCCCACTCCGCGACTCTGGGCGGCCGGCGCGCGCTCACACTCCACGCACCACCACCTCCCGTCGGTGACTGCCGCCGCCGCCGCCGCCGCCGCCGCCGCCGCCGCCACGGCCGCCGCCGCCGCCGCCACGGCGCTCGGCCGGCCGGTCAGTCAGCAATGACGTCACGTCAGCTCTGATATGGACAAAACGCTGCCCGCAGAAGGCTGGTGGCGGTGAGTGCGAGGGCACGCGAGCAAACCCGCAAAAGCCACGGGGAAGGTCCTCAATGTTTGAAAACATTTTTTTTACAAAAGGCCAGAGCCCCGCGATGAATTTGCATTTTTCTCGATCGGGATCACTAGCCAATTTTTGCGTTAGAGATTAACATAAAACATCGTTTCATTAAGATGTTATCATCTAATGTTAAGATGAACCGATGAGTTTGTATATTATGACGAATTGGATCCATTCTTAGCGAGTAAATTTGTTGAAGTCCACGCCCTCTCCTGAAGGCCGAACGGCCTTTGATCGGCTGCCAGTTGTTGGCATGTGTCCCCGTTCCGAACTTGCACCAATAGCTCATTCCTCAGTCGCTGCCTTTGTTGCAACCCTATCGTCCTTGAGCCAAAGTGGAATCTAGTTAGTACGTGGTTGAAATTCGGCTCACGCCTGCTATTTGTGCCAAACTGGAGAACACCTGTTATACCGAGCTGGCGAGTATTCGTGTTTAAAGCAATCAGCAAGTGCCGGAATGTTCTATATAAAAAGCGCGGGTGTGTTTTCAGCCGGCGTGCACCACCCCCTCTCTCTCCAGCTGACAGGCTGCCGCAGGAGGCGCTCTCTCCTTTCTCGGGCAGCGGCTGGCGCCGGCGGCCTCCGGTCAGGATACCAGCGATGTGAGTCAATCAGGGGCGCCCGGTCGGCGCCGCCGACAGCGCCGCTCGGCCCGCTCCCCAAATACGGACTCGGAGCTGCTGGCAGGTCAGCCGGCGGCCTCCAGCTGCCGGCATTCGGCGCAGCGCAGCAGCGCCGTGCGCTGCTCCACTGATACCGCCTGCCGCACAACCCGGCCCACCACTGCACTGAAAACCCACTCGCATCTCCGCAATTATCTTGCAATGGCTGCGATTCTCTCGGATGCCGCACGGGACCTCTCGGCGGCGCGTTTACTCTGCCAAAACTGGCCGTCCGCATGACTTCTCCGGTCATCCACACACTGAAAACAGTTTAACCCAGGGCCGGCGAGTAAACCGGTGTTTCGCGGGTACCCCTATCCGCAACCATTTTTAACCACCCTCCCAGGAGTACAGTAAGGTCCCATTGCAGTGTAGCCGTATCTGCCTCAGCGGTTATATCCGCTCAGAGCAGGTATGACTAAAAGGGGTTACCCTCCACGCCTACCCTTCGCCGACCAAGTCACGAGGGCCAAAAAAACTCCCACGCTTGACCATATTTGAGGGAAATTATCTATATTATGACAATCGCACACCTAGAAAACATCGGTGAGAAAGTTTCACGTCGGTGGGAACGGTCAAATCGAATTCCCATAGAAAATTCGACATGACCCAGTCACCGGTAGTCGTACAGACCGCCCGAGATCAAGAAGATGTCTCGCGACTGCTTTCGTGACCATATATAAGAATCAAAATGGTTTCACTTGGTAGTTTCGGAAGAAAAGGCGTTGCCAATCGTCCCGTGATGAATATTGCAGAGGTTTTAAAGATGCACCCTAACAATTGTACTTTCGCCCCCACTTGAAACCGCCAAACAATGTGCCAATATATCATTGGTGCAAAAAAAAGTTCAAAATTTGCTGTAATTCAAAACTGTATGAGACAACGCCATCTAGTTGTGCCAGTAGATCCAACTCCTTCAGGGCAGGTTATGTCAAGGTTCGCCATCCACGGATACGCGTTTACGATATCTCGAGTAGTTCCAACTCTTTCAGTGAGGGCTATGCCAATGACTCGACACCCGCGGGGACAATATCCGGTGCTGAGTAGCTACCTTACTGCAGACTGTGGGTACGGTGCATATTTACGAGTAATAAGGCAGGCAAGTCTGCTTACCCGCTAGCTAGAATCTGGACATGGCGAGTTAACCTTCGCCCCAGTGGGGGGGGGGGCATATGTTACCACCCTGTCGCGTTTTTTGCGTGTAAATAAAAAACCGCGGCGCGTAGCGCCGCGCCGCTTGTGGTAGCTTTTGGTACATCAATTTTGGACAATGTGTGAAATTTTTGACCCCAGGTCATGTCAGGTCAGGTCACCAGGTCAAGTTAACTGACCAAGCCTAAAAAAAAGTTTGCGATCATGTCCAGCCTGCAGTGTTTGTCAGAAAGGTTTCAAACTTGGTGGATTGCATGATGTTATAGACGCCTACAATTTGTATATCTCGGATTTTTTATATCTGTGACCTAAGGTCAGGTCAGTGTCGTGACCTTACCATTATAAGGCAATGGAGAAAAATGAAAATGTCTCTAGATCCGTGTGTACGCATAGGAACAGTCCAAATATTTCAGAATCACAATGATTTGGACCACCCGTGATGACCAAGGTGTCATTTTTGCTGATAGCCTCTAGAAAGGTCATCCGAGGTCATTTGAGGCTAGAAACAGATTTTTGCCAATAACTCTCGATTGGAAAGAGATAGAACGCTGGGGATGGCCTCATTGTGTTTGTCTTGCCGAGACGCATCGATTGATATGCAACATGACCTTTTCCGGTCAGGTCATGACCTTGACCTGAGGTCAAATTTTCAAGTTGACCTTTCAAGGTCAAATTATAGTTCATTCGACGCGTCTCGGCGAGAGGAACACGATTCTGGCAATAGAAATGTCGTGGCTTTTTTAAGTCGAAAGTTATTCTCGAAAAACACTTTTCGTAAAAACAGCTATTTTTGGAGTTTTTGCCCTCTGGAGGCTAAACCATTGACCTGAGGTCAATTTTGATGATGACCTTTTCATAAGAAGAGTTTAAAAGCTATCGATTGCTTTTCTATTCGTTTTTCTAGCTATCATAGTTCCTGAGATAAATGCATGTTTTCTGAGAAATATAATGACATTTGGCAAATTTTGACCTTTGATGACCTCCAGTGACCCCAATATTGTTCTAAGATGAAAATGACCTAAGTACTTTCAAACGTACGCATTGAGAGCTATCGACTGCTTTTTACCGCGTCTTCCTAGCCCTCTTAGTTTTTGAGTTAGAGGTGGGTGGTAACATATGCCCCCCCCCCCCCCCACTAGGGCGAAGTTGGCTGAGACCGCCACTGGGGCGGGGGTTAATACACATATACCACCCGCAGAGCAACGCTTAATTCGCCAGCTTCGGGTAAAATTGTTTTCAGTGCAGCGGTGCCGAGGGCAAGGGCAGCCGAAGGACCAGGTGCCGCCGCCGCCGCCGCTGCGGCTGCCACCCGCAGCGGCGGCGGTGGAGGCAGAGGCGGTACCTCTCTGCTATCGGCATCGTGCTTTGTGCAGCGTCATTAACGAGGCTTCCCGGAGAGGCGCCGCCGCCAGCAGCGTTCGCAGCAAAATCAATACGATCCGAGTGTAATGAGGCTCACATCTCACAGCCGCAAGGCCTCCGCCCGCCTAATGCGATGATGGGCGAGATTGGACGGTGAATAATGTGTCTGGTAATATCTCCGAGTACCCGAGCATTTACCTTTCACTGAAACATCCATTACAGTATCGATCTGCAAAGGAGATGTAATTATTAAGATAGCACAGCTGCTGAGATGAGGGGTTCATTAGCGTTCTTTTTATGTCTACATCATTCGCATCTCTCAATATCAACGGTGCATTCTTCTCCTCTTCATTATATTTTAGATTTAATGTAATGACGTGGTACGGTTGCTTAATATTAATTTGTCCAACCAACTGTTGAAAGGCAACACGCCCAAGCAAGGTTTAGCTCCCAAGCGAAAAGGCTCTTTGATGCTTGCATATTGTCATTTAACGATCACTATCGCTCTAGTTTTAGCTGAGCAAATTTCACATCCGGTATAAGCTACTCCATCTTCAGCCAGAGCTCAGTTACAGCATCTGCAGGAGAGCCATTTAGCCTGCAGTTCCGGATCCGGTGGCCGTGAAGCGCAAAACTGAAAGGACAGCCCACCCACCTACACTACCAACCCCTACACACCATGGCTACATGTAGCTACTTACACCTATTGTAAAATGAATGTCCATATGTCAAACGTCCATTGTCCATTCACACTTCCTTCTGTCCATCCATTCGTCTGTCCATCCACCTGCAGGTCTGTCCACCCGCCCGTCCACCTATCCATCCGCCCGTCTGCCCGTCTGTCCACCCGCCCAGTCCTTCCTCCAGCCCGCCCGAGCCCGCCCGTCCATCCGTCCACGTGCGGCTCTGTCCGCCCGTCTGTCTGTCCGTATTGTTCTGGGACGGCCCGGCGGCCGCCGCGCTCCCCGGGACGCCTCGCTGATGGATGGCGGAGACGGCGGCGCCAAATGGACACGCCGGCCGCCACGATCGAGACGCAGCTGTGCCGATCTGCTTACGCAAACGGCGAATGTGACGACGCAGTGAATCAATCTCTGGCGCGCGCCGCCCGCGCCGCCCACGCGAGCCGCTCGTTCCGATAACGGCTCCGACTGGAGCCAGTCACCGCTGGCGGCCGTCGTCTGGAGGAGACGAGACGAGACGAGAGAGCACAGGTGAGACGGTCCGTTTGCCAGTGCCGGGTGTCTCTTCGTAAAAAGCTGAGGGTTTATTTAGGGTTTGTTCGTTGTCCGTTTGCCCGTTCGGCTCTCTCGTGGCTTGGTGGTCCGTGTGATGTTACGCTCGGCGTCACTTCACGGCCCACCTGCGATCCAACGAGGGTGTTGAGCTGTTTCAGTGATAGCCAGTCCGAGAATCTACCTCCCACGAACCGCTGAATGGAGCCATCAGTCGGCGGTGGGCCGGTTAATAGCCCCCACTGTGAGCGTGTCCGGCGCTACTGGCCCTCTGACCGAGCTGTCTGCAGATCACTGAGGCGATGAGAGCGGCCGCCACTGACGGTGGGGTCTGACCCCAGCTTCTCTCCCTCCCCACAGC